GTGACAGGGTGCAGCGCCCCAACCCCCTGATTGGCCCTGCTCTGTGTGTGACAGGGGGCGGTGCCCCAGCTCCCCTATCAGTCCTACTCTGTGAGTGACAGGGGGGAGCTCCTCAACCCCCTGATCGGCCCTGCTCTGTGCATGACAGGGGGGAGCTCCCCAACCCCCTGATCGACCCTGCTCTGTGTGTGACAGGGTACAGAGCCCCAACCCCCCTGATGGGCCCTGCTCTGTGAGTGACGGGGCAGTGCCCCAACCCCCTGATCGGCCCTGCTCTGTGAGTGACAGGGGGCAGTGCCCCAACCCCCTGATCAGCCCTGCTCTGTGCGTGACAGGGGGCGGTGCCCCAACCCCCCAATCGGCCCTACCCTGAGCGTGACTGAGGGTGGCATCGCAACCTCCCGATCCGCCCTGCTCTGTGCATGACGGGGTGGCGCCCCAACTCCCCAATCGGCCCTGCTCTGAGCCTGACCAGGGGCTGCACCTAGGGATTGGGTGTGCCCTCTGCCACCCAGGAGCAGGCCTAAGCCAGCAGGTCGTTATCTCCCGAGGGGTCCCAGACTGCGAGAGGGCACAGGCCAGGCTGGGGGACCCCCCTCCAACCCCCCCCCGAGTGCACAAATTTTTGTGCACCGGGCCTCTAGTAAAATATATTTTTTTAAAAAAATACTAGTCCCTAATGCTTCCCAGTTCATATTTTGATCTGATAACTTAGATTAAACTGAAGAGCATTTTGGAATGAGGAGAAGAGTCTGACTTGTTTAAAATTGTAGGAGAAACACCTTCATTATAATAATCATCCTCATTCATTTAAATAAGTATGTCTTAGAACAAATCTCTACAATTATTTGTAGTCTAAGAGCTTGGACTTTGAAATCAGACAACACAGAGCTCCAAATCTTAACTAACCACTTATGTGATCTGGGAAAATTATTTAAATTTCTGAGCCTTGGTTTCTTCCTCTTTGTAAAGAGGGCATAACTATAGTATTTTCTCCTAGTCTTAAAGGCTTATACAACCTGGCATATGCTAAGTCCTTAGAAAATGTTAATAATTATGATTTGTAGTAGTTATTATGTACAAGGAATTATAGATATTGGGCTCTAAGGTGAACAAAAGACTTTGTAAGTTTCTCTTTGTAATAGTGAAATTTACCAAGGGGAAAAGACTCCAATTTTAATTTCCTTTAGATTGTTTTTTCTTTAGAACAGTGGATTATTGTCCCTCTCTTCCCCCTAAAAGAAAATTAAAAAGACTTAATAAACTTTAAGAAAGCAGCACAATTGCTTAACATGAGCTTTATCATAGCAACTTAATATTGTAATAGTTCAAGAACAAATTAATTCATTTAGGTCAATTTCATGTTACAAAGAAATTCTGTTTTGCCCCGGTGAGGCTGAGACAGCCCTGGTGAGGCTGGGACGGCCCTGGTGAGGTTGAGACGGCCCAGGTGAGGTTGAGACGGCCCCAGTGAGGTTGAATCGGCCCCGGTGAGGTCGAGACAGCCCCGGTGAGGTTAAATCGGCCCCAGTGAGGTTGAAATGGCCCCGGTGAGGTTGAGACGGCCCCGGTGAGGCTGGGACGGCCCTGGTGAGGTTGGGACGGCCCCGGTGAGGTTGAATTGGCCCCGGTGAGGCTGAGACAGCCCCGGTGAGGCTGAGACGGCTCCTGTGAGGCTGAGTCGGCCCCTGTGAGACTGAGACGGCCCCTGGGAAGCTGAGAAAAATACCACATGAACTCACTCATTTATGGATAATAAGGACCATTATAGACTGATGAACAAAAATGGATACAGAGGCAGAGCAGCATTGAGCAGACTGTCAAACTACAGTGGGAAGCCTGGGGAGGGTTGGGGGGGTGGGTAGGAGATCAACCGAAGGACTTGTATGCATGCCTATGAGAATAACCAATGGACACAAGACACTAGGGGGTGGAGGAGGCCAGGGGAATGTCAAGGGGGGGAAAAAAGGAGACATGTGTAATACTCTTTGTAATACTTTAAGAAATAAAAAAAAGAAAAAGAAAAACCCTAAAAAAAAGAAATTCTGTTTTTAATGGGTTTTAAATGTTTTTGTAGTCATTGTACTGATTGATTCCATTGTTTAATCACTGAATTCAGTGTGATGATGCCTAATTTTATAGAACTAGAGACCAAAATTTACCAATTTATATAATTTTAAGGGGTTATGGTTGTTTCTTTGCCTTTATATGTCTAAATCAGTTATGCTATGGCAGAGAATTTAAAATTTATCAAGTCAGATGCTCCCTGGGTTCAAATCCCTGGTAACTTTGAGCAAGTGATTTAATCTCCCTATGCTTTTATTCTTTTTCAACTATAAAACAGGAATAACAGTATCTGTTTTATAGTTGAAAAAAGTAACAACCTCATAGAACATAGAATCAACTGACTGGTCCCATCCTTTGATAAATGGGATTCGTCCAGGGTCCATCAAACAGCCTAAAGTAGGCCCCAAGTCTATTTTCCACACTATACCCCTGGCTGTGGCCTCATGGATGGTGGGATCTCAGTAGCCTCAGGCAGTTTCCCATGTTGGTCTTTTCTGTTACTCAGAGTAGTGATTTTTTTTTCTCCTCTATTCTTTTTCATCTAGAACAGAGGTGTTCAATCAGCACTTTTTCAGTACTGAGTATGATAAGATCAGGTTCAAAGCTACAGCTCAACCAATTATTATCAAGACCAATTTGAGTCCTAGCTCGTTTGGCTCAGTGGATAGAGCATCGGCCTTCACACTGAAGTCTGATTCTGGTCAAGGGCACTTAACTCGGTTGCAGGCTCCTACCCAGCCAGGGCCCTGGTCAGGGCGTGTGCAGGAGGCAACCAATTGATGTGTTTTCCTCACATCAATGTTTTCCTTTGTCTTTCCCTCTCTCTTCTGCTCTCCCTAAAAATCAATGGAAAAATATCCTCAGGTGAGGATTTTTTAAAAAAGGACTGATTTGAGCTCTGGCCGGGTTGCTTAGTGGTTAGAGTGTCCATCCAAATAAAGCTTCTTTTTAAAAAAAAATATTTTTTATTTTATTTTTATTGATTTCAGAGAGGAAGGGAGAGGGAAGAGAAAGATTTAAATATCAATTATGAGAGAGAATCATTGATCGGCTGTCTCCTGCACATCCCACACTGGGGATCGAACCCGCAACCTGGAGCATGTGCCCTGACCGGGAATCCTGAGCAGGAATCGAACCGTGACCTCCTGGTTCATAGGTTAATGCTCAACCTCTGAGCCATGCTGGCCAGGCCAACTAAAGCTTCTAATGGTAGAAGTGGGGCCCTAGATACTTATGAAGCTTATTCCTCTCCCCCACTCCAAGCCTGAGCCTAACTGACTAAGTCCAGATGTAGTATCTCTTGGGTCTAGGTGTCTCCCACTTGATTATGACCTTCTCTCCCTGGGTTCCTCTGGCTGCTATTGCCCTTTCCCACCCATTCCAATCTCCTCTCCCATTCCACCACCAGAATGATCCCTCTAGGACTGAGTCACAAATTCAAATGCCTAGACAGTCAGGCTGATAGCAGAAATGCCTTGGAAGTTAGAGGCAATGCCTTCTAAAGGCTGAAGCTAATTACTTGGAGGAATACGAACCCAGGCTTCCTAGAATATCTGATCTTTTAAGAAAAACTAGAAATCCAGATTTTTTTTAAAAATGTGAAATCTCCCATTGTTTAAGTACTGGCAACTATTTCAATTTTTTAAAATTATCCAGGCCAATTAAAACATATACACAGGGCAAATATGGCCTGTGAGTCCCTGGTTCCCTTCTTTACTCTAGTGACCATGTCGTCTCAAATAATGACACAGAGAAGCGAATTTAAAATGTGATAGGTGTTAGAAGGGAGCCATGAGAGAGCACATAGCGAGAGCTAAGAAGCTGACCTGCCCTGGGGATCTAGGAAGGCTTCCCTGAAGAAGAGACATTTTCATGTACTGTATCTGAAGGATGTGTAGGAATTATAGTATCTAAGGAAAAGAGGAATTGGGGCAGGCAGGGCTTGGGTTGGGGAGAGGGGAGGAGAGCAGTTTTAGGCAAAGGAACCAGAAAGTGTGCAGTCTGGAGGAGGCAAGAGTCTGCTTTGTTTGAGGAACTGAAAAAGGCCAGGGTTGTCAAGACAGGAACTAAGCGGAGAGGCATGAGATGAGGCAGGAAAGCCGGGGGAAGCTAGCCATGCAGGCAGGGCTCAGTCAGACATGGTAAGGGGTCTGGTCTTTATCCTAAGGGCAAAGGGAAGTCACTCAAAAGGTTTACCTAACAACAAGGAGTGTGTGTGTGTGTGTGTGTGTGTGTGTGTGTGTGTGTGTGTGTGTGTAAGAGAAACAGACAGGCAGACAGATATGATCAGATTTGCATTTTGAAAATATTATGCTGACTTCTGGGTGGAAAATAGAGAACGAGTGATTAGAAGTAGAGGTAGGGGATCAGTTCAGAGGTGACAGAAGTTCAAAAGTTCAGGTGAAGTCGTAGAACAGAGAAACATGGATGGGAGCCGCAATATTTGTGAAGTAAACAATAATAGGATTTAGGCATAGATTGTATATGGCAGATAGAGCTGTGAGGCCATGGAAAGAAAGATGAGCCCCAGATTTCTAGCTAGGCAATGAGTTGGAGGTACTGTTCCTAAGATGGGGGACACTGAAGGAGGAGCAAGTCAATGGTAAAGGCAACAGGGAGAATGAGAATTTATTATTTTGCTGATATTTACTTGATCAATGTACATTTTTCCAATGCCTGCTCTGTTCCATTTCTGTAAATACAAAGACAAAAATGTTTCCTGCCCACAGCCACTCACCTTCTGGTTGGGAGGACAGGCAGGAAAAAAGATTGCTATAACCCAAATATCATGCAGGTTTACCGGCCTGTGGAATAAAAAAAACACACACATGAACACTCATCATTCTGAGTTTCTGTTATTGCCCCTGCAAAGTCCCCTTCCAGTATTTTGGGGACACTTCTAGGGACTTTTCAAATGGGGCTATAGGACAAAATAACATGGCCAAGTCACTGGACACACCAGCCCTGCTCCAATCCCCTCCATTCTCTGCCCACTGCTACCACCAAAGGTGCCTTCTGTGGGATTGCTAAGAGCACCTCCTGACTAGAGTGAGGCAAGAAAGGAGAATGGCCCTGCAAGTGAACACCTCCTTAAGTTCTGCTGGCCTGGGTGTTCTCAAGGTGCTAGAACAGGCCTGGGTTCTGAAAGAGCAGTTTCCCCCAAGCCCTGAGCTACAGTAAGTCATCTGGGTCCTGAAGAAGCACGGCCAATGGCTACTGTTTGAGGCCCATTAGGGACACATTGAGTTTGAGGGGCCTCTGAGACATCCAAATGGGGATGCCAGGGATACATTGGGCATCTGGATTTGGACCTAGGAAGTTTGGGTTAGAGATCTAAATTCCAGAGCCCTGAACTGGAGGAGGAAGTATAGGCATGGGACCAAGCTCTGCTGAGCTCCCAACATTTAAATGCCCTGGCCCCCCTCCACACCACCTGACCACTTCTCAAAGACCCAGCTTCCCTAATTCATGTCAGCAGTTGGTCAGTCACCCCTTCCTGTGCATTCCCACAACAAGTTGTATTGTGCTCTATTGTAACACTTTCACACTATTACATGGTAACTCTTGGTTTCCACATTTGTTTCCACTAAACAGTGAGCTCCTTGAAGGCATGGACTCTCCTATTCCATGTTGAATCTCATGCTATTTCAGCTACTACATTGATGAAGACTAAAAAAAATTGGGAGAGGGTACCCAGAATTGATTGAGGAGGTGGAAGAAGAGGATGCTGCCTACCCTCCTGCTTGGTGCAGCCTATTTATGCCATTTCTAGGAATTCTCCTATAGATCTATTGATATTATGCACAAAAATGTTCTGTATAGTGATGCTCATTGCAGTATGGTTTGCAATACTGAAAAAATTGGAATCAACCTATAGTTCTATCAGAAGTGAACTAGTTAAAAGAGCTCACTATAATACTATGTGACCATGACTTACAGACTTATATATACTGACAAGGAAAGGTGACCACAATATTTCATTTAAAAACAAATTTTTAAAAAAACTGTATAAAATACTACAGTCTGTGTTTGAAACAAAAAGGATAGACTTGCATATAGATGTGTTAAAATGTCTAGACACACAAGCAACCCCTGAATAGTATCTTTAAAGAATGCCAGTCAAGTGAATGGGCGAGGTTTTGGGGGGAATTTTACTTTTCACTTTATGCCCTTATTATGGTTGGATTTCTCTTAAAGCTAAAAGTATATTTTTTGTAATTTTTTTTAAAAATCTTGGAAAAACACTTTAAAATGTTGAATCTAATTCTCCCGTGTCCTTCTCCATCCTCCACATATTTGGCACCAAGTAGGTGTTTAAGATTGAACAGATAAACTACACCCTTGAAACTCTCCTGCCCAGGCTGGAGCCCTTCTCCTGGGAACTGGTTGCGAAGCAGGGGAGGCAGATCCGCGGTGATCAGACAGGTCAAGCCAACTGCCATCCTTTCCAGCCTGCATGTTAAGGACTCACATGAAAGTGAAAATCGGAAATAAGGTACTCAATACACATGTGAAGTAATAATAACAATGGCCTCTTTTGGTTATCAAGCAGCTACTAATTTACAGAGGCACTCCCATTTAATCCTATCAGTCCTGGGGTAGTCATTGTTAGGAGCCCTGCCTTATCTAGGAGGAAACGGAGGATGAGCAAGGTTAAGTAATGGAAGAGCCAGCTTTGGCCCTAACTCCATCTGAATCACAATGCTCTCAATTGCTCCTGCACTCTATGCCATAGTGACTGGATTATGGAAGGAAATAGGGTACAAGAAACTTAGTCTTTTTGGAACCTCCCTGCTCCAGAACAAAGTCTAGCTATAGTCCGTGAAAGTGAGAGAGATAAGAGAGCAGGCCTTTCCGATCCACAGCCAACATGAGCTCCCAAAACTCTTCATTAGGCTCTAAATGGCATCATAATGATTATTAATAACTTCTGCTTACAAGCCCTACTGTCCAGAGGTTTACACTGGTATTTGTTAATGTTCACAACAATTGTGCAAGGTAGTTGTCATTATCTCCACTTTATAAAGGAGGAAACTAAGGCTCAGATAGGTTGTGGTTTTTCCTAATGACACACAGCAAGGACAAGGCATTGCTGGATTTGAATTTGTCTGCCTCACTTCAAAGTCAGTGTTTTCACAAGGCCATACTTCTAATATTAGTGGTTTCAGGAGAGCCTAAGACAGCATAGGGTGGTCAACACAAATGAACTCCAGACCTCTCGGCTCTCAGGACAGGAGTTATTCTTCCCTACCCCCGTGGAAGGGTTCACCCCCACCCCCTCCACTCTCCCTCCACAGTGGAAAGCTGCTGCATCACCAGCAGGTGAGTACACTGCAGCCGCATACCCATGGCTTCAGAGATTACCTTTTGTGTGTCTCACTGGAAAGAAGGGCTCAAACCTCCCCTCAACCCAACCCACAGAGAAAGTAAGTAGAAGTTTGGCAGCCATCCTGTAAGAATGTTGATTCTGGTCTCGAAACCCAGCTCCTTCTCAGACTCTTCTTTATCAAAGTTTTATTAGGCTCAGCTCAGGGTACCTCCATCTGGGCATCTCATTACAGAGCAAGGACACTTCAGCCATTTGTAACACCACCATCCAAATAGAATTTTCAAGGACAGCAGCAGGAATGAATTGCAAGGGAGCTATAAATCCTCTTTGCCCCCTTTCCCCTCCTGCATGCATTTGCTGTCTCAACCCACCTATTTCTTCACAGTCGAAACTGGATTACTCCTTAAAGGTATCTGACAGTCTCATCTCTGCTCATTTTTTCACATTTCCACTTGCCTGGAACTCATTCTCCCTGTCTGAAATTTATCTTGTGCTACGAACTGCAATCTCATTTAATATTTGCTTATCTTTTGACACTTGTCACATTACAGTTTTTTCATTACAATTATTTAAAACATTTTTATTCTACTTCATTATAAACTACCTTTGTGACCTCAAAGTACTGCACCAGACACTGGAACTATATCTGTATAATATACATAAGATAATTTATGGACTTGTGTTTTGTTCTAATTTCTGTGGGTGACGTCTCTCCCCCACCCACAAGAAGGTAGCCAGGGCTTCATGTTTCCTAGTTGAAGGTGTCTAAGCTTCAGATCCAAAAATCAAGTTTCCAGGCACCCAGAAGACATTTTTCAGAAATGCTTTTGCGTGGGCATATTTGGGAAACTGATCCCGAAGGAAAAGGGGGGTGCTTTGAATGGGGGAAACAAAAAATCTATGGAAAGGTTAGAGAAGGCGCACGTTGGTATATATAGCACCCAGAATGAGAATGATGTGGGAGGCGACTACACACCTTGGCCGCGACAGCAGTGGTAAGGGGCTCCCTGAGCGAATCTGGAATAATCCATGGTGAGGGGCCCAACAGAGGCAGGAGGCCTAGCACTCCCACCAGTAGGAGTCACCCTAAGGATGAAGGAGTCACCATGGATGAAGGACCTGGCCTCTACCCCACTCTGTTGCGCATCTCTTAGTTCATGTCTCCCAATGCCCCACCTCCACCCCTCCTCCCGGCGTCGGACTCTCGCTTAGCTGCCCCTTCTTCGCCCCTAGCCTCCCCTGTGCCCGCTCTGCCCCGCTCCCAGGTCAGGCCGGCTCTCTCCTTCCAGTCTTCCTGCCTGAACAACCTCAATTCTCTCTTCTTCCCGCCACCCCTCCTCCGCACCCTCCACCCCCCGTTCCCCACGCTTGTCTCTTTTCATTTCCACACGTCAGTGACCTCGCTCCAGCCACTGAGCGCAGCCCCGCCAGCGGCTTGGCCGTTGGGGGGGTGGAGGGGTGGCCCCGCGAGTAACAGGTCTTCCGCCCCGCACTCCGCGGCCCGCGCGCAGACAAAGACATTCCACAGCCCCCGCCCCGTCCGCGCGCTGGGGGAGGAGACGCGTGTCCCGCTAGCGCTGAGTCACGTGGAAAAGAAAACGAACGAAGAAGCCCGCGGCCGCCCGCGCACGCGCACGAGGCTCCAGCCGGGCGGGCGCGGAGGGTAGAGGGGGAGCGGGAAGGCGACCGCTCTGGGTTCCGCGGCCGGTGCGCAGGCGCCGAGGCCCGGCTGGGGACTTTGTTCTCCACGGAGAAACCCAAGGGCGGTGCCGGGGCCCGGCTGCGCACGCGCGCCGCCTCATTTCCGGTGCTCTCCTTCGCTGGGTCGCTCGGGTCGGCTTCGGTCGGCGTCGCTCCCGCTCTTCCACCCCCGCCAACCGCCTCCGAGGCCTCCGCCGCCGCCGCGCCGCTTTCTCGCTTTCTCGATCGCACATCCTCCCCGATGCAGCGCCGGGACGACCCCGCCGCGCGCCTGAGCCGGTCCTCGGGCCGCAGCGGCTCCATGGACCCCTCGGGTGCCCACCCCTCCGTGCGTCAGGCGCCGTCCCGGCAGCCGCCGCTGCCTCACCGGTCCCGGGGAGGCGGAGGAGGGTCCCGGGGGGCCGCCCGGGCCTCACCCGCCACGCAGCCGCCATCGCTGCTGCCGCCCTCGGCCACAGGTCCCGACGCGACAGTGGGCGGTCCGGCGCCGACCCCGCTGCTGCCCCCCTCAGCCACTGCCTCCGTCAAGATGGAGCCGGAGAACAAGTACCTGCCCGAACTCATGGCTGAGAAGGACTCGCTCGACCCGTCCTTCACGCACGCCATGCAGCTGCTGACGGCAGGTAAGCGGGCCTCCCCGGTCCTTCTGGGCCGCCCGGCCGCATGGGTGGCCAGCGGCTTTGTTCCCCTTGCTTCCCGCCCCCTGGAGACCGAGGCGGCCGTCGGCTCCCCTTCTCTCGCGCTCATCTCGGGGAGCCTGGATTTCGTGTTCCCGTCCCGCCGGGGGTGCGAAGGAAGGAGAACCTCTGGGCTGCAGCGGAGGCCCGCAGGGGGCTCGGGATCTCCCAGCGCGAAGGTGTGGACGGGTCGTGCTCTGTTCCCCGCCCCCTGGCCGACCCTCCCCCGCCCACCTCGCAGCTGCCCCGGGCCCCGAGTGTTCAGATTCTTCCAGAAACGCACCTTTAACTCCCCTTCCCCCAAAGGGAAAGCTTTTTTTTTTTTTTTTTTTTACTGGGGGTAGCGGTAGGCACCTCAGCCGAGAGTGTAGGAGGTGAAGACAGCCCGAGCAGGAAGGGGCCGTGGGAGGGCGGGCTGGGGTGAAGCGGGGTGAGGCCGGAGTGCCCTGTCCAGCGCGCCGGGGCCGCTGGGTCCGGGCCGGACTCCGCGGGAATGAGCTTAAGTTTCTCCCGGGCAGGAGCAACCTGTGGGAATCGACGCTTAAGGTTTTTCCTAATCGGATTTCTGATTTCGGCACATAAGATAATGACAGAGCCGGAAAGATGGGACACCTTTATTTTTACGACGTGTGTTCGCCATCATTCCAGGCGAAAAGTAACCCTAAAACAGTGAAAATGGGGTGGAGGGTGGTAAAGGGTGGTTGCACGACGTTCCCCAACGAGATGGACTGAAATGGAAGAAGTTGCAGGATGCACGCACCTGAAAGGCTTGGTCTTTCTGTTTGTTTTTGCTTCGGTAGTGAAATAGAGTAGGAATCGTCGTCTTTGTTCTCTATTGTCCGTAGACGAGTGCTCCTTTCCTGCTCGGCACTGGCCAATTACCTAGTCGCTCTGCTTTCTCCCTAAAGCCGGCTGTTTTGCCCTCACTTCTGGTTGAAACGTTGTTGTAATAAGTATTTCGTATGATACCTAAGTTTTATTAGGTAAAAATTCGCAGCCTTCAACACTGAATAGTTGGACTCCGGCAAGGTCGATACAATGGACAGATCGTTATGAAAACATTTCCCTCCCTTTGTTCTCTATCTCCAAACATTGGGGGGGGGGGGGTCTTTAAAAAACGCAAACTAAGAATATTTAAAGTGCTTCATTTTCAACTCAGTGCTTTGCCGCTCTGTAACACAGTTGGATTGTTTGTTCATTGTGTTCTTCCGGCAAGCTTTCTGAGAGCAAGGAATGCTTTTTATCTTTATAGTTTTCAGATTGTCTTGCATATAGCAAACACCAGGTAATTGAATTTGAAAGCAAGTACATGCAGATTTAGGAATGTTAGACTAAGTGGTAAAAGTTGACTTAGTAGTCTGGTTTTTATTTTCTCAAATCTTTAATTAGTCCAAGTAAAATTTGTGAGACTAAAATATCAAACTTTAGGACTTGAAGCTGTTGGTTTAATTCTGACCCTTAAGTAGTTACCTACTCTTGGGAAACATTCTGAACCTCAGCAACCTCAACTGTAAAGTGGGATAGTGAGTTGTGAGGATTAAATGATGTGTAAAGCGCTAGCACAGTTCCCTTTGACCTATAATTATTAGATAACAATTTGTCACCACCATTTCCTTCTATGTGTAAATTCATGGTTAAATATGGTATGAAAATACAGTGCTCTTTAATTTTTTTAACGTGGGCTTTTTTATGTGTTTGGTTTTTTTTTAACCAAACAAATTTAATTGGAGAAATGGGATTAAGGTAATTCTTGTTTATTAAGAACCAGACTATGTATATTTCTTAGCGTGGGAAATCTTGGTATATGTTGAACCTAACTTTTAAGGTATTTTTGAATGATCTGGAAAAGGGATTGTAGTGAAGGTAACCAACTACAAGAAAGTAAGAGACTGAGAAGACAGAATAGTGGTATTTAAGCTCTGATAATGAAACGGTAAGAAAAATACAGCTAACACTTGCTGTCCAGGCACTGGTCTAAGCACTTAACATCAAATATTTAGTCTCCAGGACAATACTATGAAGTTACTCTTATTATCCTCACTTTTACAGATGAGAGAACCATGCATACAGAGATTAAATTAGCCAAGGTAACAAAGTTAGTAAACAGCATAACTAGGATTTGAAATCAGTCTGAGTCTGAATCCACACACTTAACCCTCTCCACCCCTCCACTATAGTACCTGCAACAAATTGTACTTAAGAAAATATTTTGGACCTGGCCTACGTGGCTCAGAGGTTGAGGGACGACCAGGAGGTTGTGGTTTGATTCCTGGTCAGGGCACATGCCTGGGTTACGGGCTCCATCCCCAGTGTGGGGCATGAAAGAGGCAGCTGATCAGTGACTCTCTTGTTAATTGAGGTTTCTATCTCTCTCTCCCTCTCCTCTCTCTGCAATTAATATAATATATATATAGGCCGTGGCTGTGTGGCTCAGTAGAGCATTGTACATACACCAAAAGGTTTCCGGTGCAATCCCCTGTGGGGGTGCATGCTAATAGATGTTTCTCTCTCTTCCCCCTTTTGTCTCTCCCCCTGCCCACCTCCTTCTCCTCTCTCTGAAATCAATGAAAACATATCCTCAGATAAGGATTAAAAATATATATTTTTTGTACTACTTACACAAAATATTATAAAATCATTTTGAATGCATCAGAGTACTAGAACAGGGCAGTGAAGATGACAAGGCCAAGATATAGAAAAAGAAAACCCATAGAGCAGAGCCTAGCACTTGGGTCAGTGACTGAGGTACCTCTGCCCATTTTCAAAGATCTGTGGCAAGACCCAGACCACTCTTCCTTCACTATTCACATAGCTCTCCCTGTTCCTTACCCGGCTTTACTCTGCACTTCTCAGCATCTGATGCATTATATATTGTAGTTATGTGTTTGTTGACCACCCCTTCTCCTTCATAGCTAGAATGTCAGCTCCACCAGGACAGGGATCTTTTGTCTCCTTTGTTTACACTATATCTCCTGTTCCTTGAAGAGTGCCACACACACACAGTGGCTTCTTACTAAATATTTGATGAATGGATATTCATCTTCATTTCATGATGGAAAAATAACATAGTTCTAAGGGATTTGGATTTTGAATATAGACTTTACTAGACAAGTTGATATTTAACTGTGATGACAAATGCATTTGCAGACATGCAAGGACTCAGTATACCCATGCTTGCTTTCTGAGACAAAAATAATTTATAATTTGTGTTAAATGCTTACATAATAAACAAAATGCTTTTAAGCATATCACTGTTCTTTTTCTACTTTCTACAATTAGGAAAATATAAGTTAGTGTAAATAACTCAGGAATCAGTAAACATTTGATAGATTAACAATCCCCAGATCTTGAAAGGATACTCAGAAATCTATCTTACAAAAGCACACAGTATAGAACATTTGCAAAGTTTATTGGAACTTCAAATTAGTTAACTCCTTTATTTTATTTATAATACACTATAAAAATATATCTAGATGTTCCTATTTCATTCTATAGGGCTAGAAGACCTATTTAAACCAGAAAGTGGAATTGCAAAGAAATTATAGACCAAATACAGATATAAGTGTAACTATTAGGAAAGAAAGGCAGAGTTATCACTCACTGTTTGCAACAACATCATGATTGTTTACCTTGAAAAGTGGTCAGTGATGTGGTTGATTGCAAGTTAAAGATGTACAAATCAGTAGGTTTCTACTCTATGAACATTAGAAAAGAATTGACAAAATGATCTCATTTTTAGAATAGTATCAAATGCCTTGGGACAAGCAATGAAAATCAGTTCAAAATGTATGTGAATAATTATAACAAACAATAACAATAATTAACCTTTGTAGAGCATGTAACATGTGCCATGCTACTCATATAATTCAACCTTCCTGGCCATTCTCTGAGGCAGAAAGAATTTTTATCTTAATCTTACAGATGAGGAATATTGTGATCATATTGTCAACTGAAAATTTTACTGAAGGTGATGAATATCTGAATAAAAAGAGAAATATGTCATTTCCTAAAAGAGGGGGAGGGTGTGGAGGAGGAACTAGTGTTACAAAGATTATAGAATTTTTATTTAAAATTTTTTTAAATTGATTTTGAGAGAAAGGAAGAAAGAGAGAAGCATCAATTTTGTTGTTCCACTTATGCATTCATTGGTTGATTCTTTTTTTAAAATATATTTTTATTGATTTCAGAAAGGAAGGGAGAGGGAGAGAGAGGTAGAAACATCAGTGATAAGAGAGAATCATTGATTGGCTGTACACCCCACACTGGGGATCAGGCCCGCAACCCGGGCATGTGCCCTGACTGGGAATCAAACTGTGACCTCTGGTTCATAGGTCAACACTCAACCACTGAACCACGCCAGCCGGGCATCATTGGTTGATTCTTGTATGTGCCCTGACCAGAGATCAAACACGCAACCTTGGTACATCAGGATGATGCCCCAACCAACTAAGCTACCTGGCCAGGACAAGATGACAAAATTTTTTAAAAATATATTTTTATTGATTTAAGAGAGGAAGGGGGAGAGAGAATAATTGATCAGCTGCCTCCTGCATGCTTCCCCACTTGGGATGGAGTCTGTAACCCGGGCATGTGCCCTGACCGGGAATCGAACCACAACCTCCTAGTTCATAGGTCATCGCTCAACCTCTGAGCCATACCGGCCGAGCAAGATGACAGAATTTTTATTTTATTTTTTTTATTTTTTTTTTAAATTATTTTTTTTATTTTTTTTAAATACATTTTATTGATTTTTTACAGAGAGGAAGGGAGAGAGATAGAGAGTCAGAAACATCGATGAGAGAGAAACATCGATCAGCTGCCTCCTGCACATCTCCTACTGGGGATGTGCCCGCAACCCAGGTACATGCCCCTGACCGGAATCGAACCTGGGACCTTTCAGTCCGCAGGCAGACGCTCTATCCACTGAGCCAAACCGGTTTCGGCGA